ATCAAATCGATTTAAATCGATTTCGATGGATTTTCCGATTCACTAAAACCCATCCGAATCTCACTTAAATCCATCAGAATCTCACTTAAATCAATTTTAAATCAATTTAAATCGATCTTTTTAAAATTTTAAATTGATTTAAGTGTCTAAAAAATCGATTTAAATCGATTTCGATGGATTTTCAGACACTATAAAATCGATTTTTTTTATTAACACGGCGAAAAAAAAACATACCCCTTGAAAAATGGTTGGAATTTTTTATTCTCGATTTTTTAAACATAAGCAATCTTACCTGATGTTATAGAATTCATTAAAATGCTCCACATAAATCAGTAACTCCACATAAATCTCCACTCAAAAATCTGCAATAAAATCATAGAAAACCATTGTAAATCAGATTATGGGCAAAATCTTGTGGAACAAACCAGAAAAGGGTCAGATAAAACTAAATTGTAATCTCAGTAATATGCAATAAAATCATAGAAAAACATGAAAGTAAATCAGATTTTAAACAACAACTTTTAAGCAACAACTTAAGTAAATCAGATTTTAAGCAACAACAGATTTTAAGCAACAACAAGAAATTTATCGATATTTTGGTCTTTTTATTTGGTCTTTTTTATGCTACAATACGCTATGGATGAAAAATGAAAAATGAAAGGCAAGATGTAAATGCAATAAAAATTTGAAACTAATAAAACTCGAATGAAAAAATCGATTTAAATCCGTTTTAATCCCCTTAAAAATGAAAACAAATTCAGACTGGAAAAAATGCATTTAAATTGATTTAAAATCGATTTGGATCAATTTTTTTAGCTGGGGCTTAAGATCAATTCAAATCGATTTTAAATAGATCCAAATCAATCTTCATCTTTTTTATTTAATCTTCGTACTTTTTTCATACTAAAACCCATCTAAATTTAATCAACGTACTTTTTTCATGCTAAAAGCGATCTAAATTTAATCAACATACTGTTTTCATACTAAAATCGATCCTAATCCATTTTTGTCAGAGCGGGATAGGATATGACATGTGTTAAAAATATCTCAAACCAAACCAAAATTAGATTGAAAACAAAACGTAGATGGGTAAAACACAAATCATTTTGCCTAATTAGCGCTTATTTTGTAAAATATTCATCTCACCACTAACTTCCATTCCAGGACAAAAAAACTCTTTGAAAACTACTTAAAAACCGTCTAAAACAATAATGCACAATTGGGAAAACAGTGGAGGCCACAGTGCAATTTGAAGGACTTCTTTAAGTGTTCTATAAAGGAAATTAAACGTGTATTAGTGCATGTACGAGCTTCAGAAAGAGCGCAGAACAACAAAACTCGAGATACTTGAGCATGTTCGAAATTTGTCTATTATATCCATTCTGTTTTTTTTTAATTGCAGTGCTCATTCAATTTTTGAATATTCGAACTGTGCACTAGATATATAAACTGAATTGGATATTTTTAAGAAAAAGACGATTAAGGCTGTATATTGCATCGTGGAATTTATATCGACACAAAACGAGACACAAAAACTCGAAATGTGATCGCATTTCCTTATACAAAATTGGCTGTTGCTTGTCTGGAATGAAAAGCGCACACTTAAATTAAAAAAGTTTACTCAAACATGTGGTTTTTATACTTTTGTTTGCGTGCTTGATTGGTCAAATAAGGCACGGAAACACATAGCATACCAGGATTTTCTGTAGTAGATAATTAACAGGTATATAAAGCATCGAAAAATGTTGTGAGGCAAATTGGAAAATGAAAAGGTCGAAATGCCAACAATCTTGGAGATGCAAGATAAGCTGTTTGCTAATCTGTCAATAAGAACACTCACTTAGATAAAAATTTACTCCAACACGTAGTTTTACTGTTTTTTTTTTTCGTTTGATTGATTGTTGAAACAAAGCATGGAAACATACTGCAAATTAGTTTTTTTTTCAAATACAGCATGGAATCATGTTGAACACACAAGTTTAGTCCACTTTATATAGCTCATGCGTTCAATTTGTTTCCAGTGAAGTATCTGGAAAAAAACGCAGCTATGCAACTTGTTTCTGTGCTTTATTTGAACAATCAAACAAACAAATAAAAAACTGCATGTTGGAGTTAAAGTTTTTATTTAAGTGTGAATGTGTCATGACAGATTAGCAACAGCTTATCTGGCATCCCAAAGATAGTTCGCATTTTGACCTTCACTTCTCATTTTGCGTCGAAAATTTTCTCGATGCACTATCTAGCTGTTATTTATCTACTATATAATACCTAGAGAGCAGTATTGTTGAAATCAGGGTTCTTGGATAATTATTAACGTTTTTCATTCATGTAAGTAAACTGTTTATACTTCTCGTGGTTCAACCAATTAGACAAACTGTACACGTTTACATGTAAACATACACTTGCCGACCAAATTGAGGATTTTGCTCTATAAGATGTCTGTTTTCAATGTCCATTTTGGACAATTTTTTTTTTCGAAATTCAGTAAAATTTTTACATAGACCAAAAGCCAATAATCAGAGCTAACCTCAGTAAAACGATCAAGGTTTGGTTTTAATGACTTATCAATGTAAAATGGGTCTGAAAATGCCGTTTTCCTCATTCGCGCTAAGTTTTGCGTTGTAGTGCATTCTTTTTTGAATAAGCGGACTAAAAATATATTCATGGAACCTTTCAGTATGAAAATCTACTAAGCTCTTAGTTCACGCGAAATTAAAAACTTAGTACAAATAAAGAAAACTGGCGTTTTCGGACCCGGATAACATTGGTAAATCATTGAAACTAAACCTTAATAGAGGGTAACTCTGATCATTTGCTCTTGGTCTATGTAAAAAAATTCCTGAATTTCGAAAGACGCGTTGTCCAAAATGGTCAATTGAAAACAAGCATTTTTCAAATTAAAACCCTAAATTTGGGCTTTTTTCAAATGCACTAGTGCTAGGGGACAAAACCAAAGGCAAATTTTTAAATTTTTGAAATAGTTAATTTTAAGCACCATTTTAGACAACAAACACTTGAATTTTTAGCAAAAATCTTGAAACGGCCGACAACAAATGATCTCAGCTACCCTCTGTGAAAGTCTCCATTTTAAATCTGAAGCGCCTATTTGGTTTTTAAAGTTTAAAATTGTCAGCGTACACTATTTGTATTGTTCTTTTGAAAGTAAACACTTTTTTGAATAAACGGAGTACAACAAATTGATCTGAAACATTCGATGTGAAACGTTTGATGTGAAAATTGGTATAAAACATTTTAAACAAGAAAATTGCATTGTAAAGTGTGACAACTTTGTTCGTCTTATTTTTTTGCTTTGTTTTACATTGTCGGAAAAACTGACAAAACAAAACTTAAAAACAAATTTTAAAAACTGGCATTTTTTGACCTGGAAAGATCAACTATGTGCTTCAGGTTAAAAACTGAGACTATCAGAGAGGGTACTTCCGACGGTTTGCAGGAGGTGGACATCGAAATTTGGTAAAATTCTAGGTAAATGGAGTCCAAAACAATCGTGAAATTTAGAATTTTAGAGAGTAAAAACGGAATTTATGTTTAATTATGTCCATTAGTGCATATAATTATATAATTACTAGAGAAAGAAAGTAACACAACAACAGATTTAATTTGTAAATTCTTGATTTTTTCCCAATATTATTTTAATCATGATTTATTTTTGATAACAATTCAAACATTGTCTGAACGAGTAGAAGATACAACAAACTAATTTCTTAGCCCCGAAAGTTTACTTCAGATGAAAGTAATTTTCAGATGATACAGTTTTTCAATCGATTTGTTTTTTAAACACTTTAAATTTGATGCCATTCTTTTCCAATCGGAATCGCGTGTTTAGATCACTAACTTCGGCACTGTATCAGCAAAGTTGGCAGTTAAATCAAATTATTTTCGAATCGTTGCCTGTAGTATCAGTTTTTTGGTAGTTAGAACTTTTTTTCCGGGTTTTATATCGCAAAATATTTAATTGCCATATTTATAGTTTGAGACAGGGGAGGATTTAGTGGGGGGGGGGGGGAGTGCCGACGCCTTTTCCTCAGGGATTCGACTCCCTGCCGACCCTAAGGGTCCCCCCTTTGGTACTTTTGAGAAATCCAGTTTTGGCAGACTAACTCTAAAATTTTTCTAAAGGCGCCTTTGGCGCCAATAATACTAAATTTAAGGGGGGGGGGGGGGGGGGGCGTGCGCCGAAAAAACCGCGATTTTTTGGTCAAAACTTTCCAAACATTGCCTAAAAATGCCTTTTTTGGACTGTTTTTTCAAAAAAAAGATCGACAAAAATTTCGTAATTTTTTTGAAAATCCGCCCCCCCCCCCCTCGAGAAAATCCTAGATCCGCCCCTGGTTTGAAACTATACGTACCTGGGGACAGGGGCAGATCTACGATTTTCTCGGGGAGGAAGACTTTCAAAAAGTTTGTCGACGTTTTTCTAGTTTGACCAAAATGATTTAACTGTAATAATACTGCAATAATAATACCAAATACTGAAATAGTATAAGATGTAAATTATTTACTTAAAATTTTTCTCCAATTTTGCAATTTTTAAAAAAAGTTTTTGGAGAGGGCGGAGTATACGACGCCTCCTCCCTCAGGAGTTTGACCCCCTCACCAACCAAAGGATTCCCTTTTCTTAAAGGCACGTTTGGTGCCAATATATGATGAACTTAAGGGGGCGCGCGCCGGAAAAACTCGATTTAGTAGTTAAACCTACCAAAAAGTGCCTAGAAGGTCTGTTTTAACATTTTTTCTTATATTCGATCAATTTTTGCTCAGAAAGTTTGATTAAAATAGGCTAAGTATCGTGTTTGGTCGATCGATCTAAAAAAAGTTCGGTCGACCTCCGAAGAGATTTCCTAATTTTGTTTAGCGTTTATTAAAGAAATTTGCAAAAAAAAACGATAAATAAAAAATACCTTCCCTCAAATCATAAAGAAAGTTGTTTAAAATTTACTGTATTGAATTGAAAACCGTTTTTATCAATATCAAAACAACACGTATGAGACGCACGTGCATGAATTTACACCAAACAGAACAACGTTTTTTAAGCTCAAACATACCAAACCAAAATTATTAAACCAAACGCGTGTTTTCATTAGGCAAACACCAGTCTCAATAAACATCATTTGTCTTGTTTTTCATAAATTCTTAGCTAAAATTTCCACAAAAAAAATTGTTATGGACGCTGCCGAAACGTATTTAGCGGCGACAGTTCGCGAAAGAAAAGGCACGATGTATCTCCGCTCAGATCATAACGAGTACGACTTGACGAAGACGCATGTCTCTAATTGGAATCAAGACGCCGAATCCTACCCCAAGGACTATGACGTGTATAAAGACAAGCCTTGGAACTTGAAGAAGTCAACTTATAATCACCTATCCAATCAAGGTAACACGGTTACTTACACTTAACATCAACCTAATGTTATGCTGTTTCTAATTTTTTTTGCCAAAGTTGCTTTATAAATTTTTTAAGAGTCGATGAACGTAGTTCAGACTCTTATATAGGTGTTGATGATTCTGTATAAGTTTTTTTTTAGGAAAAGTTTTTAAAATTATTCAGGTTCGACATTTGATTTCTTTTTAATATCAGTTCAATAAATTAAGAGAGGCACACTACACGATCATGTATCGAACGTGTAAAAGACTCAAAATGTTTTAGAGTTTCAAAGAGCTACAAGGGCTTTCATTAAGAGTAATGAACATAGTGAAGACTCTTATAAAGTCTTAGTGATTATTTTTTCAACAAAAAGGCTTCAAATGATCTAATAACTACAAATGTGCATTCACAAACATTAATGCATTTATAATTGCACTTAGGTATAAATGCACTTTTTGAGGTCAATTGAAATTCATTTGCAGAAAGTGGCGTAAATAGCCCTCTCCAAGCAGGGACGTGGAAATGGCGCGAAACAATGTGAAAAATTAGGATTTAACTTTTAGATTTCCAGAGGACAAATTTTTTTACCTTTTGATCCAGTTTTCTTCAGTTGCGTTCGTCTTATCAAAAAAGCGCCAACCAAAAATGTTCTAGAAATTCAAAGAGCTTAAAGAACGTCTTTTGTTTTCTTTGAAACTCAAAAAATAGAAACTTTTCAACAAAGTCAGTGTTTTTTATGTTTATTTGCGTTTATTACTCTTTTCCAATCTTCGATTGGTTATGTTTTTATATTTCAAATTTTTTTTCAACAGTGTTTTTTTTTGTTTACTTGCGTTCATCAAACTTTTTCCAACTGTCTGCTGACTATGTTTTTTAAATAGGACTCGAAGTTTGGTCGACGTAAACAAATGTTCGATCGTGAAACTTTTAGAGAGGGAAAAAGTCAATTCGATTTTACTTGCTTTTTACGCTATACCACTAATGCAATTTTTCGAACCCAGTTAATACTGATAATAATTGTGCTCAAAAAGGGAGGGAAATACTCAAAATGAATTGCAATCAGCGAATCATACCTGAAAAATATCGTTGAAATTTTTGAAAGTTATGAAGAGTATATTGTGATTCATGGATTGTATTTTCAAAAAAATGTCTTTTTGGCTAACTTTGTAAAGATAATTCTCCATCACAACGTAAAGTTATGACCATCACAACGTAAAAGTTATGTTTTTGAAAATGTATTAACCAAAATTGTTGATTTTGCTTTTATTAAAACTCAAAATCAGGTACCACAATCAAACTTCAAATAAGGCCAGGTTTGTATCCTTTTGAAGTTTTCTCACTCGTAATTATTTCTATATAGGAGACGCGGTTTGCAGATTTAGACCATTTTGAGAAAATCAAAAAAAACAGAACGATAAAATTTTTAATCAAAATGTGAAAAACTAAACTTACAAAGAAGAAAAAACTACTATATACAGCTTAATTTGGCGGTACCAAAACTAAATTTTTTTTGTGGTTCCTGCGATTTGCAGAGGATCTATCAAAAGCTATTTAGCCTGTCTAAGCATAGCCCGTTTTTCTTATTTTGTCACAATCTAGACTGAGCTATTTTTTTGCGATTATAAGCCGTTTTTTTTTTGCGTCTAGGCTTTTCATGTGGTACCACTATTGCAGCCGTAATCGATCAGGCTGTGGTAGTCCTGAAGCTAGAGGTCAAATGAGAGCTCGTTCTCACACACTAACACTGCTATGGCAGGGGATCAATAACACGATCTCACGATCTCGAAGTGAACGCTTTACCACTATGCTATCTGCCTCTGCAAAAAAACTCTTAAAAAAATCGAGAATTTCACAAATTTGAAAAAATTGTGTCCTTTTGTTGTTCATTTTGCAGAAGAAACAATTTGTCAGAAAAATTATTTATTTTTGCTCTCATCCCTCACAGAACGCAAACAAAAAGGCGCTTTTTTAATCTATCGACCGGAAATGGTTGTTTGAATAAAGACTTGCCTAACGTGAATGATCCTTCAGCACAACAAAAGCCCTAAAATTGTTATTTTTGCTAGAATTGCCGGATCCACTGCCATGTTTCTATCAGTTCTCGAAAGGTAACAGTCCTGTCAAATTTCTAAATCACATCTTTACTGAGTTTTCGGATCTCTTTAACTACTCCGCACCCCTTTATTACAAAAGGGGAGATTATTTTCTAATACTATATTCGCTGATGGTTAGCAATTGAATTAGTCCTTTACACAAGCCATTGGATGAAGGGGGTAGCTAAAGAGATCCATGTTTCTAGATCTATCTTTTTCTATCATACGAAGTCCAAATGTATAAACAAAATGCGCGACTTGTTCCCTAATTTTAAAATTGATAATTTATGGATTGATTTTGTTCCACTATATGGCTGCTCACTTTCCCCATATGCTCTACGAGTTATTTGAAAAGGAGATGGAACATTCCTGAAGTTAGAACAAATTCTGCTCATTCTTGATAGTGTTATCTTGGTTTTTGTTCAAATAGTATTGCTTTAGATGGTCCAATGCCTAAAACTACAACCCAAGCTCTTTACGACGACAGGTCACAGGCTAAATTCCACGTGGACAGAGAAGCCAACAAACCTCTACAAGGCGGAATCACTTCCGACTCACGACTGGACGGGAACCTCGTTCGGGAAGTCATCGGGCGAAACTTAATTGATCGCCGAGCATTTTACGGGCTGACTACATACAAAGACGACTACAATTTGTACAATGGTGCAAAATGGGTACCTCACGACATAACATCCGAAGAGAAAGCGGAGTCCCAGAAACTAACAGACGACGAAAAAGTGGCAGTCGTTGGGAACCGAAACGACTTGAGCCAGTTCACAGAGAAGTCGAGGAGGTTCGGGGCGAATACTTGGCAAGACGAAACGGGTGTTTACGGAACAGCAATGCACAAAAGATTAATGACAACGCAGTTCAACCCTCTAATGAATGCATTTGAAGCTTAACAACAACAACAAAAAAGAAACAACAAAATGGACCCACGAGAAAATAATATTTTGTGCAAAAAATACTATCAAAACAAAGACAAAGTGAAACCACGTTGTTTTTTGAAATTAAGATTGAAAACACAAACAAAAACTTGAGTCTAGCCAGCAGTTTATATATTCAAAGTCCATACGGCCAGCTACATAGAATCATGAGCGAGAAAATATTTTAAGGGTCAAGTTTAAAATCTATTTCGTTACTTAATTGCAGCCCTACCCGGGTTGAAACTTCAAATGATTGATGAAAAAGTGATAAAACAGCGATCGTCATCATTGATTTACCGCTGAATACCTATCTAAATAGCAAATTTCAGTGCTGAAACAGCACTGGTTCACTAATGAAAAAAGCCAGAATTTTCTATTGATGAATTAGCAATCAATAGGTGGCGAGTTTTTAATGGTTTGCCGCTGAAGAAAAAGCTTCCATCTGAGTTATGCATATAGCTACAACCACTCCAGGAAGGACATTTCCTGTAAACCTCGGTTTCAAGGAGATCCCGCTAAGATTTAATGAAATATATCTGTGTTCCAGCGATAAAAAGAGTAAACTGTGTCGTGAGGCGACCTTCGGTACCTCGTAAGTTATTTGTTCTTTTGCAGTCATACTGCAAAAGTGACACTAATTATATTAACCAAGATCATTGTTCTAACCTCTATTCAATACCACGCTGAGCGTGTTCATTCCTTATCTGTTATCACTACTGTTCGCTGGTAAATCTGATTCTACAAACTCATGATCTATCGGGATAAATTTCCTAAACCAAGATAATATTCGAAACTAAGCATCAAAGCTATTCAAACTAACAAAGTATCTAACCCTAAAACAATTTACTTATTGTTGAGCAACAAAGTTTTCATTCTAAAACTTCGGTCAATCTCATGGCGCAGCCAGCAGTTCCTGTGAACGAAGACAGGACTGACCTGTTAGGCATTCCTCCCTTTTGGGCGAAAGCCTCTATTAACTCACCATTCCTGTGGGAATCTTGGATTGGTCAATTTTTTTTGGCCGCTGGTTTGAAAGAAAATATCAATCCTCATGATCTGTTAGTTGAACCCACCGAGGTCATCGATGAACCTCCTCCAAGACCAGAGTCAATCGCTGAGGGCGAAGATGCTGGAGCAACTAATGCCCGCAGACAGAGAGATCAAGCGGCGATCCGGAGGATTACCGAACTAAACGTGGAGAGGAGGAGAAAAGGCCCTCGGATCAGTCAGAATTAGTTCTATCATGAAGCCGAAGCTCGTTTGAAATCTCGCTTGTTCTTTGCTCTGGGAAATGAAGGGAGGAGACGATTCGCTGACTCATTTCCTCACACGGACATTATTAATATTCCTTTTCGAGAATTTCACACTGGATGTGAAACGCTGTTCAAGGTTGAGCGAGAGTTTACGGTGGAGCGTATCAAGTTGTATAACACGGTTTTTATGCTTGAAAATGACACTTTCTCGTCATTTTACTCTCGCTTGAGCGCCCAAGTGGCTTTGTGTAATTGGCCTAATGATCAAGAAAAGGAGATTTTAAAAGACCTCTTTATTGGGCGGATTCGAGACGTTGAGTTTCAGAAACTACTCACTCATAATCAACATTCAACCGGTATTAAGGTTAACCAAGAACCTACTTGCTCTATTCAGTCGACGAGGGGGAAGCGGAATTATCCTCAAAACCAAAATAATCGACAAACGTCACAAAACAATTAAATAAGTAGATCATGCTACTTTTGTGGTAATCCTTATAGCCTGGAGCACCGAAAATCTTGTCCAGCTCGTGACGTAACATGTAATCTTTGTCGGAAACGAGGTCATTTTGCGAAAGGTTGCAACTCGTCGAAACGACGTGTCAATCTGGTGCAGGAAAATGAGGACGTGGCAGGTCCCTCTGTGGATTGCAATTTCATAGATGTAGACCACGATAGTGAGCCCGAATATAGGGTGTTGCAGCTGGAATCCGCTGTCATGATAAATAGCGTAGAAACTCTTAAGTCAAGTGGAGGACAACCTCGGAGCCTCAGTATCCAGTTGCGCTCTGGTTTTAGTTTTTTCTATTCGACAGTAGACACAGGAAGCCCAGTTTCGTTCCTGAATAAACGCACCTGTGATTTTCTCTTGCAAAGAAGTCCATCAATTGAGTTTCGCGATACCCTATCGATACCTTGTATGTTGACTATAACAAGAAGCCCATTTGCCTCCTGGGGTCGATTCAAATTCCGATTTTTTCTAGTGGCTGGAGGGTGGCTAACGCTCAGTTCCTCATCTCGGAGAATAGAACTCGTAATCTTCTCGGTTTGGACTTGCAGGAGAAACTGGGCATTGTAACTACACAATTGAAGGCTAAAACAATCCAGTCAGTGGATTATAGCTCTTCGGATCCGATTTCAGAATACTGGCGTTCTTTTTTCGCAAAGAAGTACGCTCATGTGTTCAGTCGTTTGGGTCGATCAAAAAGTCCTAAAGAATACACTAATTTTAAGTTCCCATTGGTGGCACGTCAAATTAAAGGAAGAAAAGTTCCTATTCGTATTCAGGATAGGGTCGCGAGTGAGATAAAATTTTTGGTGGAGCAAGGACGTATTGAAAAGTTAGACAAGTGTACGACCGATTTCTTCATTGCACCGATTGTACTAACTGCAAAAAAGGATGGATCTATCAAACTGGCCCTCAATGCTAAACCGATGAATGCTCAGATCTGGAAAAATAAGTACCAGATGCCAAATATTCATGTCCCAGATGGAGGGAAACTGGTACTCAAGGAACTCGCAACCCTTGAGTTTGGTTCACGGTAAGGTTTGGTTCACGTCCTTGGATCTAAAGTGTGCGTAAAAAAAAATTCACATGCGACCATTTTCTATGAATGGGTTTAAAGATTACCACTATGGCCTGCATGGGACAAAAAACACGCGATGTATTTTGCCCTATTAACGCGTATGCTGGAAACAACCTATCGCTTTGTTTTTTTTTGTATGGTGTGTGGGGGTGCTTTTCAATTTTTTTTTTATTTTTCAAAATCAAAATTTATCAATTTTTATAAGGCGAACACTGCTCCATAGACCTTAGACGGCAGTCGGAACATTCAGGGCTTTGCCTTGATAGAAGCAGTCTTGTTCTTAGTATAAAACTTGTTCGATTGCGAAAAAACTTAACGCAATTAAATATTTCGAGCTTATGCATTCAACATAATAAATATATAAACGAGCACACACATAAATTAGCAAACGACAATTTTTCATGCTAAAAGTTAGCAAAAATGATCAAAGCAAGCATTATTTTTAAATTTGATCTCATTGTGTCAATATAGTTATTAGGGTATATAAAAGGAGGTGTCAAAAGGAGGTGTCAAAAGATTTGAATCCCCCCTCTCATTCAGCGTCCTCAGTGCTGCAGCTGGAATATGGGGTGTTGCAGCTGGAATCCGCTGTCATGATAAATAGCGTAGAAACTCTTAAGTCAAGTGGAGGACAACCTCGGAGCCTCAGTATCCAGTTGCGCTCTGGTTTCAGTTTTTTCTATTCGACAGTAGACACAGGAAGCCCAGTTTCGTTCCTGAATAAACGCACCTGTGATTTTCTCTTGCAAAGAAGTCCATCAATTGAGTTTCGCGATACCCTATCGATACCTTGTATGTTGACTATAACAAGAAGCCCATTTGCCTCCTGGGGTCGATTCAAATTCCGATTTTTTCTAGTGGCTGGAGGGTGGCTAACGCTCAGTTCCTCATCTCGGAGAATAGAACTCGTAATCTTCTCGGTTTGGACTTGCAGGAGAAACTGGGCATTGTAACTACACAATTGAAGGCTGAAACAATCCAGTCAGTGGATTATAGCTCTTCGGATCCGATTTCAGAATACTGGCGTTCTTTTTTCGCAAAGAAGTACGCTCATGTGTTCAGTCGTTTGGGTCGATCAAAAAGTCCTAAAGAATACACTAATTTTAAGTTCCCATTGGTGGCACGTCAAATTAAAGGAAGAAAAGTTCCTATTCGTATTCAGGATAGGGTCGCGAGTGAGATAAAATTTTTGGTGGAGCAAGGACGTATTGAAAAGTTAGACAAGTGTACGACCGATTTCTTCATTGCACCGATTGTACTAACTGCAAAAAAGGATGGATCTATCAAACTGGCCCTCAATGCTAAACCGATGAATGCTCAGATCTGGAAAAATAAGTACCAGATGCCAAATATTCATGAGCTTATTGATTCCGCGGCTTACGTCATAACTCGAAATGTTCCTGGTAAGGTTTGGTTCACGTCCTTGGATCTAAAGTGTGCGTTTAGTCAGTTACCACTGTCATCACTCACTAGCAGCCACTGTAACTTCAATATTTTGTGTGGTGAGGCGACTAGAACGTACCGCTTCAAGACCGGTTTTTATGGACTGACCGACATGCCCACCGAGTTCCAGAAGGCAATGGATTGTACCTTACAAGGGCTGGAAGGAGTTATTTGTTACCTCGACGACATCTTGATTGTCACTAAAGGAGATATCCAAGAACATAACGATTTGGTCGAGAGAGTTATGCAAAGGCTTGATGCGGAAGGATGGGCCCTCAAACTGAGTAAGTGCGAATTCACTGTTAACCAACTAACTTGGCTAGGGTATGACATTAATGAGAATGGGTACTCTCCAAAATTTTCAAAGATCGAGGCAATTCAATCGCTAAAACAACTTCGGTCATTCATGGGAACGTTAAACCATTTACAAAGGTTTATCGCTGATTTGCATACTCTTACTGTCCATTTCCATGCCTCATTGAAGGCTTGTAATAAACAATCGTTCCTATGGGGTGAGGATCAAAATAAAGCCTTTCACGATATAATCAAGTTGATCGCAAAAATTCCGAGCCTGTATTACTTCGATTCATCGAAGGGATCGAGAGTAAAATGCGACGCGAGTCATAATGGCTTAGGTGCTTGCCTCGAACAGGAAGTTGAACCGGGAATTTGGGCCCCAACTGCTTTTGCTTCGCGTTTCCTTAATAATGCGGAGGTTAAATATAGCACTAACGAACTGGAGTTATTGGCTATTGTCTGGGCTTGCGAACATTTCCGTACTTATTTGTTAGGTACGCGCTTTCAAGTG